TCTTCATTAGTCCTGGGAATTGTTTTGGTAAAATGTTCATGTCACAAGACAACACAGGTTCTAAGAAGGAATTCACACATGCATAATTAAACATGACATGTGCTTCTTCTTTCAAATGGATACCCTGTTCTTTGAAGGTTTTGGTCATGATCATTAAAGTTGATGTCAGTGTTCATGTAGCTGTAAAACATGTTTCACTTATTATTACTCATATATGATGCAAGGTATTCCTTATTTTCATGTCTGGTTATAATTACTGAGTGAGTGAGTATGGTTTTACACCACTTTTAGCAATATTCCAGCAATATCACGATGGGGGGACACCAGAAATGGGCTGTACCCATGTGGGGAATCAAAACAGGGTCTTCTGGGTGATGAGCGAAGATTTTAACCACTAGCTATAGGCTAAACCACCACACACCTCACACCCGACCCTCCCCCGAGATGATTGTGAAATGTGACTGTAATACTTGTATTTATATCATAGACTTGGTTATTGTTGGATTTTAATCAGTTGTATGGTTTTACATTATTCTTGTAACACTTGAAAATATTTGAAATATTTTCAAATAGCTACCTTGGTTTGTTTACTAGTTTATATTTTCACAAATATGATGGGTGTAATGTTCAATGCCATATACGTGTAACCTCCACGTATTTACACATTTCACGTTGGTGAGCCAATGGCATTACTTCAATTGTTTGTAAGAGTCTTTTCAACAGACATAAAGATATGTGTGTGAACCAACTTAATGAGTTCGGTACTACATATAATTACATTTCATAGTATTCTTCTTGCCTGTCCCATTTCAAGACAGGCTGCTCTGTATTTTAGTAATAAAACATCTTTAACAAAACTCATTTCTTTTTGTCATTTTATGGGGAAATCTGACAATGGTCAGTTTTTATCTGGTCAGCTGGTGCTCTACAACATTTCTGAATACACAAACAACTAACACCATGCAGGATTTGATGGATGTCTATACTTGGACAGAAAATGTCCACTGTGACATGTTCACCTTGCACATGCTTGTCTATGTTCAGCTGCATAAACTTATGTGACGCCTCAGGCATTGGTTTGACTCCCTACCCCAATGCAAATATATACAGTTGATGCCCTTGATTGGGATGTGACTGGTATGATACTGATAGAGGCATCATAACCAACTATCTCTCATTTCACACTATTTCAAAGATGTCCCAAATGTTTAAACTTCTCATATCTTAAAAATCACATAACACATTTGCATCTTTTACCTTTAGTAAACTGTGCTAAAGGTGTCCTGTATACATTGCTTCTCATGCATACTGTATAAGCACACCTATATTTCAAGTTTAGACCAGACCAATTCTATTTCTTGTTTTACGTATCCTCCAGTTGTATTTTTTCCAGAATACGAAAAGAAATAAAAGTGAATTTTCCCCGCTCAAAAAATAAAATCCTAATGTTTTTATTGGTCAAAAATGTAAACTTACAAGAAATTCTTCTGAGGACAAAAATATGTAAAACAAGAAATACATTGGTCTGGCCTTATTGATAAAGAACATGGCACATAACCCAAGAATTGATTACCAAACACCAAATTCAGTTCCAACAGGGAAGACCTGCAGACAACCCACCACCCTGCTAAAAGACTGAGTATGGGTTTACACCACTTTTAGCAATATTCCAATATTATGGCGGAAGACACCAGAAATGGACTTGAAACATTGTACCGATGTGGGGAATCGAACCGGGCCTTCGGCATGATGAGAGAACACTTTAACCACTAGGCTACCCCCACCCCACCTAAAAGAGTAGAATTCACACTCTCTCTAATTTTCTAAAGTTACACACTCACCCAGAGAGAAAGAGAGAGAGAGAGAGAGAGAGAGAGAGAGAGAGAGAGAGAGAGAGAGAGAGAGAGAGAGAGAGAGAGAGAGAGAGAGAGAGAGAGAGAGAGAGAGAGAGCATAATTTTGTATACATGTACATGCACTTTGACTGTTATTCACATTGTACGTGCTTCTCCATAAAAATCATCATCACTCGATCCCAGCCCAGCTATACATTATGAACGGTCCCTTGCAAATTTTCGATCGAACTTTTAACAAACATTTGAATATTGCTATATTTTCTTTAATATTTATAAATGGTAACTATAGAAGGAAATGCTGTTTTTGTTATGCTGTAGGGGAAAATGCACTCTCATTACACGCTATTCATCTTTACACGACTCAGCAGAAGTAAAGACACTTCCGTGTTCAAGAGAGAAGTAGTGCGTACGAAACACGTATGACGTGGTCACATAAGCTCCGCCCACTCATGTTTATTTATGATTTCTGTGCACTTAAGACCATTGTGCGTTTAAGGGCACAACAAATGTAAACAATATAAATTACATGTTTCTTATCTTAAGAGCATTAACAAGACATTTACCTAGGTTACATAATTGTATAGTATTTTGGATAGTAAATAATTGTACAAGTTTATAAACAGCATGAATGCTGAATCATCTGTCTTGCAGTGGATATAGATGGGCTATTTGTGAAGTTAAGTTTACTTGATGCCACTAATAGAAAAATGCATTCCCTTGCATTTGACCGAGCTTAATTGATTATATTTCTATCAACCAGTCCCAACCCAAACATGCTCTTGTTGATTTTTCTGTATTTTTATAGTGTCTGACATAGAACATCACTGTAAACACACATATATTTCTTGCCAAACATAGTCAGCTTCAGTTGTTGGGTTTTTCATCAATAGAAATAATCACTTCTTAATATTTTTGCCTCAGTGGTAGGGCAGATAATACCAGTATTATTTACCAACGTAGGAGCGGTTGGGTAGCCTAGTGGTTAAAGCGTTCGCTCGTCAAGCCGAAGACCTGGGTTCGATTCCCCACATGGGTACTATTGCTACTTTTGAATCCTTTGAATCCAGGTTTCAAAAGTACACACAACACTATTTGTACTTTTGTTTTACATGAACCATATTCATAATTAAACATAATAATATGGTATTGTGTGCGTGCGAGCGTGGGGGTGTCTCAAATCTAAACCCTGCATCCTATATCGACTTGACAAGCCTTAGGATAACTGTTCCCGGTAGCCAAAAGACCCAGAGAGATGATAATAGTGTTCACCTTAATCTGTCCCACGTTCTATCACATATGAGTAACACTATTCTTACATTCCCACATGTTTAAGGTTCTCTTGAGCACCGTCAAATGCGTGCAATCCTAGCCCTTGATGCTGACGTTATCAAAACCAGAATAAATGTATGCGGTACGTGCAAACGGGATGTTGCCAACATACAATGGTGTACACTGACGTCATTGGCGTTAGTCACAGACCATGTTTGTAGATGACTCCTGACTGACTTTGCACTTCCTGGATGGTGATGGTTGTGTCTGGCGACGTTGAAATGAACGTCAACCCAATGTCACTCTGACAGATATGGGCGTTTCATCAGTTATGATTTAAGGTGCATTACAATGACAAAACGAAAGTCATTCCATACTGTGCAAGAAGGGTTTGTACAGTAATGTCGGAAAAAAATGCCCGTGATCACCATGTACGAATTGTCAATGCGAGATGGAAATGTGGTGGCGCGTGGTCCTGTGCTCAAAGCTCAGGTCACAAATCGGTGAAGTTAAGCTGCGTCGAGCTCGGAGAGTCCTTGGATGGGTGACCGCGTTTGGCAGCTTGACTCCTGAGAGTTTCTAGGACTTGAGTCCTGCCCCACAACGAAGCACATGTGACACATGTGGTCTCACCTTAGGCAAGTGAGTTTGTTCAAAATTGTCTCTGTTCACCCAGCAGGAAAATGGGTACCCGGTGGAAAAAAAGTCATATGACTATAACCTTCTAGCGCCTAACAGGCAGCTTGGGTTATCCGGGGTAATAGTGTGCTGTGCCTTGATTGTTAGCGCTATGAGCATACCTACTGTGGAGTTTGGCGCTATATAAATGGACACATTATTATTATTATTATCTCCCAACAGCGGAACAGCCATAGAATGCTTTCCCTCGCTGATAACGTCTGGAACATGACAAAGGCGTTTGCGGTCGTCGACCACGATGGCTGAACGTAGCCAGGCCTTGCAAGAGGAGAGCTACAAGTCGACTAATACGCCCTGTGCCCTGTCGAGTAAATAGATGTTTGACAAAACGCGGCGGTATTAGGCACAACAGATCCAATGATGTCAAGGATGAAATTGTCCACCTTATCGTCTTACGAATCGTCCTTCGTTGCAGCCACCACACTTGCTGTCGTTATGACAATCGCTGTAATGTATTCATAAGTCACACATTATCAAACAACTGTAACTTGAGACTACTCTTTATTATTCCTAACTTCTAACTTTTCCCTTTATTAAATGTCATGGAAATGACTTGTACGATCCATGTTCTGCGTCATACCTGCGACCGTAGGTTTCACAAAAACATCAGTTCGGGAGGACCAGCTGAAATATTACTTAATTATTCTGTGAACGGCATTAAACTCCAAAAGTCTCTTTAATGGTGACCTGTTGGAGCATAACAGACACATTTTCGCTTTTCCCACTTGTGGTAATGGACCCTGGAGATGGATAAACAAACAAACATATATATGGAGTAAAATATCATTTTATTCACTTTTCTTGTCTGTAAAAATAGGTGACAGCAATTGTTAACGGTCAATAATATGCTTGTAATTACGAGGGCAATATGAATCGTCATATTGATTTCAGTCGGCAAGGTTACATAATGAAAACATAAATACATTAGTTATGATACGTACATGCTAGACATACTTGTTGCTTTCTGGGGATGTCTTTCTCACTAAGGGAATGATTCCATAACGTGATCAAGTTTTAATTTACGTTACATTAGTACTGAATGTAAATGAATGTTTATGTTTCCATTCTTCTTCCAAATAAAAAAGGGGCGGTGGGGTAGCCTAGTGGTTAAAGCGTTGGCTCGTCACGCCGAAGACCCGGGTTCGAATCCCCACATGAGTACAATGTGTGAAGCCCATTTCTGGTGTCCCCCGCCGTGATGTTGCTGGAATATTGCTAAAAGCGGCGTAAAACCAAACTCACTCAGTCCAAATAAAAAAAAACAATAAAGGAAGAAGGAAGTTTGAAACAACGAACGCGTAACTATATTAGCTGTTAAAAACAACTTGAGTGGTATCACGACCCTTTTTTGATGGTAATGGTAATATATACACGATGATGGCTGTCGATAACGGGTTTCCTCGTCTTCCTCTTCAGATGGCTTATGACATGCTGATAACTGTAACAAAAACAGATATATTCATTAGTGACATACTACAGCAGGTGCAGAGATAGGTTATCTAACCAATGACATGCAGGACTGATTGTGATGTAACACGCATGACGCTGATATGTCTATACACAGCTTCCGGTCGAAGAGTGAGTGAATTTAGTTCATAGCCGCACTCAGCAATATTCCAGCTATATGACGGCGGTCTGTAAATAATCGAGTCTGGACCAGACAATCCAGTTACCAACAGCATGTGCATCGATCTACGCAATTGAGATACGATAACATGTGTCACCCGAACCCGTTTGTCTCCTCTTACGACAAACATGGCTTGCCCGGATTAATTCTAAACCTGATGTTCACGTTTACAAATCAGTGGGTTAGAGGTAAATATAAGCGAGTATTAAGAGAAATATTTTTTCGCAGGCCATTTACTGAAGAACACCTAAAGAAGACAAATTAAGAAAAAGGATTTTCTCAACCTCCTTTTGGATGTATGCTTATAACGTACCTTCACAGAGTCTGTCTGTCATGTCGTTTTTGAAGTCGACACTCTCGTAATCAAGAACTGGAAACCTCGACATCTGTGAGAGCTCCTTCAGACTGGCATCACTTCCGGCCCTTACGAAGATAAATTTAACATTCCTATATTCCGATCTTCGTACCTCCCTCGCAACGGTTTTCAGGTCGCTGATAGGACCATTAGCCAACACGACGGCAACTTTCTTGGCGCCTCTACGTGCTCCATTGCGATTCAGAGTCAGCGTTCGGCGATTGATGGCAAGAAGCTTGCTCAGGGGTCTTGTTCTTGTTGGCGTCACGGCAGCCATGAAGTCATCATAGAAGAAGTGCTTGTTCAAAGGGATATCTTCAACGTCAGGACAGTCATTTGAGAGGAGCCCAACGCGTATCTTGTTCTTACCAACGTTGAGAGAGTCAACTGATCTTCTGATTATGCCCAAGCTTCTGGTTACGTCTTTACCCCCAGCTTTGCTAAAGTCATTGATGAACATTACGTCAGTTGGCCTCGAGCTGGCACACTGGGCTGAATGGAAATATTTACGTCACGTTAAAGATTTTCTTCAATAACAAATTCATGAAAAATACATAAGTTGTAGATTTTCTTCAATAATATATTAACGACAAATATATAAGTTAAAGATTTACTTCAATAATAAATTCATGACAAATACATAAGTTGTAGATTAATAAAAATAAATTAACGAAAACTATACCAGCTAAAGATTTTCTTCAATATTAACTTAACGACAAATATATGTTAAAGATTTTCTTCAATGATAAATTAACGACAAATATATAAGTTAAAGATTGTCTTCAATATAAATCAACGACAAATATGTAAGTTAAAGATTGTCTTCAATATAAATCAACGACAAATATGTAAGTTAAAGATTGTCTTCAATATAAATTAACGACAGATATGTAAGTTGAAGATGTTCTTCAATGATAAATTAATGACAGATATATAAGTTGAAAAAATAGCACAGTACACGAATTGCGGATATTATACCTTGCAGATTGCTGGTGTAGTACATATTCCATTACAATTATCTTTGGTATCTATCCACCACAGTATGATGCTATGTAGACATTACTGTTGAAGATGTATCAGAGGTTCGATACAACCTCAAAATTAAATAAGGTATACATAGGGACCTAGCTGTTATTTCGAGACAACCGTATGGTCGGCACATCAAAATTCGACACAACGATGTTGGTACTATGTAAAACTGTTAGAATCATATTGAAATGTTTACAAGTTAACTTCCCATTTTTATTACATAAAATAGTTGTTCATGCGACTTACTTGGCTGGTCTCCTTGCATTTTGAACTCGACTGAAAAATAATGCATCGTGGCATTAGAATTGGTTTGTTTTGCTTGTTGTGTAACGCCACACTCAGCAATATTCCAGCTATATGGCTGTGGTCTTTTAATAATCATTTATGGACCAGACAATCCAGTGATTAACAGCATGAGCATCGATCTACCATGAACCATGGTAACACCTGGTATCATCACATTATGATAGTGATTCATACACACATGCTGATAATATAGTTGGAATTGTTGGGATTAGGATTTCTTAGGGATGTCGAAAAAGTACTCACGCTTGTATTAACACTTTAACCGTAATTGCGTTAAAGTACAAGGCATACCAATGACCTCTTTGCGTAGCATTAAGAAGCTGGTATGAAGAACAGGAACGATGTTTGGTGGAAAGACAACTTCTTTATTGCATTGGATGCGGTGTTTCATTGTAGATGCTAACACCGTTATCATCACATTGCAACAAAGAAGTTGTCTATCCATACAAAATCGTTCCTGTTCAGCAGATCAATGGTTGATTGCAAGCGACAGTGCTTACCTTCGCAAGTCTTCATGGCAAGGATGTTCTTCAGTTTCCTCAGGGCTTGGTAGCCATTTACTTGATAGACGAAGTCTTCAGTAGGCGAGGAGCCAATAGCCTTCAGCTCCGGGAAGTCTGTTTGGTTACTGACACCTAGGAAGAAGAACACAATTAATGTTAAGACTTGTAAAATGATACCCTCGTTCTATTGAACGTATATCTCTATGGTCATGGTAGAATCTTTATTGGTTCTGTGTTGTCATATCAGTACTGTGTTGTAGATATAGATATAATGTCACCTACAGAATAATATCAGTACTGTGTTGTAGATATAGATATAACGTCACCTACAGAATAATAAAAATAATAATAATGCACATGTATAAAGCGCTTTGTGCATGCTCAAAGCACTAAGACAGTATTACCTCAATAAACCCATGCTATCCCACAGGGTACCCATTCACTGCTGGGTGAAGAGGCAATTTTCAACAAACTCACAAATAAAATAACTAAGTATTTGTTTCTTAGTCTTCTTTGCGTAGACCGACATTTAGCACTAACAGGTTACCTCATTTAGTTATATATATGAAAAGATTAATCAAAGCAAAATGCAAAAAAAATAATTCCAGAACAGTCGTTAACGAGGCAACCTTGACGTGAGTGAGACTACATCTCAGATTATGCAAGTGATAAATATTTCCTTGAGGAATAGTAGAGATACACCACTGATTAATATCTGAGTTTGGAATAAATGTATTTGTGTTATTTGTAAGATCTCGCATTTTCATACCTATTGCAAAAACATACATCCCCTTCTTTTTCAGCTCAGCTGCAACTTCTTTCGTCTTCTCGGGCTCTGCAGACATTCCATCAGTGATGACAATAGTGATGTGAGCTACGGACTTCCGTAAGCCGTTCCTGGCAGCCATCATGCTACTCCGTACTAGGGACAGGGCGTCCGCTGTGTAGGTCTTTCCACCAGTGTAGTTGATGGCCTTGACGGCTTCCTGGATGGACGCCTTGTCTTCGAACCTGTTGAGATGGAATGCCACTGAGGCGTTGTCACTGAAGGTTACCAAGCCAACCTGACTTTTCCATGCACCGATGTCGAAGATGTCGATGACGTCGCTGACGAAGTCCTTTTGAACTTTGAAATCGTCAATCCAGATGCTGCTGGAGGTGTCAACGACGAAGATGACGTCGGCTGGCTTTCCACCACACACTGCAGAAAAGGATTTCTCCATTCAGACTCAAAGCACCACTTTGTTACGTCACAAGCATGTGACGCCTCGTAAAATGACTGAGTGAGTGAGTTTAGTTTTACGCCAGGGTTATATGGCGACGGTCTGTAAATTATCGAGTCTGGACCAGGCAGTCCTGTGATCAACATGAGCATCGATCTACGCAATTGGGATACGATGACATGTGTCAACCAAGTCAGCGAGCCTGACCACTCGATCCCGTTAGTCGCCTCACGACAAGCATCGGTTGCTGAAGATCAATTCTACCCGGATCTTCACAGGTCGACGCCTCGTAAAAGGGTCTAGTAGATTTCAATGATTTGATTTTTAAGTTGATTCTGTATATACTCATTTCCAAATGAATGATGAATATTTGAATTGACTTGAAATATTTTTTTGTATCATAAACATTATATTTCAAATGGCCATTATAAGGGGTTGTGAAAAGTCCGTGCAAGTTAGACACGTTTCAATGCTTTGCATTTCTAATCAAATAATTTAATCTAAAAGCACTACATTAAAATATATATGATATATAATAATTAAATATATTCCACAATATTATCAAAATATATTAATATTTCATATATTCAATGAAATATAATGTTTGTCTGTGATGTTTGTAAGTGCGGTTATAAACAACATAAAAATACAACACATTTTTTAGCAGACTTTGTTCCAAAAAGCTTATCTTCATAAAATATTCACACATTACACTATCACAAAACAAAATGAACTATTGTCAAGGAAAAGATATGGGTTTGCTTTCTAAAATAACATTGTTATAAATAAAAGTATTATCACCACAGTATTTCTATAAATTCAGGCTTTCGTTTCTCAATATGAAGTGAAAATGTCTTTCTAATACAGTGTGTTTCAAACATAAACCAATCTTTCGCCACAAGAGTTTTTCAGCAAACGAGATCAGTCCTAACAATGATGCTCTTTGAAAAAAGGTTGTCTTTGTATTATTCGATGTTAATGGTATCCCCAACGCCATGCTACTGGAGAACTTAACTCTTACGCAGCAATACATAATTGTATTCGTTAACAATCACAATTATATGTAATAAATATCTCACGTCTCATTGCCTCAGCGCCCATTATAGCATCAACTGGAAACAAGAAGCGCATCATGAATAATTCATACAATAAGGATATAACGCAATACAATAAACAAATCAAGGTAGTATACGCATGTTGATTCGTCACAGGGTAAAGGCTAAACGATTCATTAAGATATTGGAGTGTGGTTTTTAAATGTCACTAAAAACATAAAAATGTTAAAATCAGTCAATATATGTATTAGTGTCTATCTGTCTGTGTGTTATAATATAGAGAGTTGTTATTGACAGCGCGTTAGGACATAGATAGATGCGTAGACAGTAGTGTTGGGAATTGGTTAAAATCTTATAATTGATGATTGGTTCATTACAACCGATCAATCATCGAAAATAATTGGTTAGCGTCATTTATGAAATTTGTTAATGCACATAAAGATAAGGAAAAAAACATGTAGTTCTTTTGGGGCTTTTTGGCAAAATTTCACATCTTTAAAGGATGACTAGTATGTTAGGAACATAAATTTCTTGGAGCCTTTAAGATAAATTCATGATCGATTGCTTGGTCGTTTAGTCACTACGACCAATCTCCGATTATTTCAATTAATCGGACCACCACTCCTGTCCATGTGACTAAGGTATTCGTACTAAGGCATGACGCGATGTTAAACGGTTAATAACCGAGTTGCTTTTAATTGCTAATGGGATACAAAAAAAGTGACAGACGTTGAAATAGCTTATGAATAGGTGACACGTAACAAAGGAGAGAAAAATAGACAAGTTATATGTCAGGCAGTCCGACTTACTTACAGGGCAATTGTAAATGGTGAGATCACTATCTTTATGATCTTTTCCAGCAATTAACTCAGCTTGACCTGCTCATTGAACCAGCGTGTCATTTGGAGGGTGTTTTAGTTAATTACTGGATAATTGCAGGATGAGTCAGGAAGCATCCAAGTTGAAGTTCGGCCATTGTACTTACGGCTCTGTGTCGTTGTTGTAGGTGTAGTCGTTGTAGTTGTAGTTGTAGTGGTTGTGGTCGTTGTTGGAACTGAAATACAAATATTTGGCTATTTGAATATTGGATGCTCCAGATTTAAATTTCATGTTTGTCTTCCACTTTTCGTTGGCTCTATCAACACTTTTTCGCTTTCTCTTGCACCCCCCCCACGCGCGCACACACACACTATTCTCCTTTCACACGCACACATACCAAAACACATATCTCCTCCGACCCATGGAGATATTAAAATAGGTATTCAGCAACCCATCCTTATCGTAAGAGGCTACGAACAGAATCGGGTGGTCGACACATGTCATCGTATCCCAACTGCGCAGATCAATGTTCTTGATGTTGATCACTGGATTGTCTGGTCCAAACTCTATTATTTACAGACCGCTGTCATATATTCCTGAGTGCGGCGTTAAACAAACAAACAGAAAAACAGAAACAAACAAACAAACACCTTTCTCTGTCATCCTTCTTCCCCTGCACGAAACTGTGTCTATTCGAAATCGCAATAATGTAGCTGTGAAAAAACAATTTCAATGTTATTTGGTTATGAACATTCACGAAAAGAAAAATGTTAATGTATAGAATCTACCTGTAGTAGTAGTAGTAGTTGTTGTTGTGGTCGTTGTAGTTGTGGTAGTAGTTGTGGTAGTTGTAGTCGTTGGCTCTGTTGTAGGCGGAACAGGGGTTGTCACTGTCCAAAACAATACACACAAGAAATTATTCATATTAATTTTATTATATTTCCGGATCACTGACCGCCTCCGTGGTGTGGTTGTTAGAGAGTCCGCCCGGAGAGCGGAAGGTCGCGGGCTCGATCCCCGACCGCGTCATACCAAAAGACGTTAAAATATGGTACTTGTTGGTCCCTGCCTGGCGCTCGGCATTAATGGGTACAACAAGGACTGGTCGGCTCGGAGTCAGTATAATGTGTCTGAGTGGGGTATTCATGCTTCACTGCGGTATGGTATCTCAGTGGGCTAACTCTATAAAACCAGCTTCAGTCTAGGCTAGTACAAGCAGTTGCACATACATATACACACGCATGCACGTCGTCATATGAGCGAAATATTCTCAAGAACGACGTAAAACCCAAATTCACCTCACCTCACCTTACCTCACCTCCGGATCACTAATGATATCATAGACAAGAGGCTATTGGGGTAGCGTTAAGTTGCCAGGCCCCAGACCAAGCTCATTCCCCATATTAAGTCTGTGTCAATTGTCTATCTCAGTCATCATGAATAAGGATGGCTGACTGTATGCATCTCCCTATCTGTCTCAGTCACCGAGGATATGGATTGCTGACAGAATGCGTCCCTTTTAGCAGTGTTACAGCCTTATAACGGCGGGGCTTCATAAAAATGGGCTTCACGTGTCATTAGACGCTAAAACTTAGGGGTGACTATAGAGGTTGAACAACCAATGGGATAGCGATAGTCTATTGTGAACAACTACAGCAATAAGATTGCAATCGGTTTTCTGTCCATGAATTGTCTCATTTGAGGTCATTTCACAAATGTGTGTATAGTTTATATGAAATAAAACAAGCTAGAGTGATATTGTTGGAATATTGGTGACAAGAAACTTGAAACCCAGATCAAGTTTGTTTAAGAGGTAACAGGGGCGGATAACTCCAAATCAAAGTGAACTAATCTGGTACTTCCTACAATTTGCGCTGCGCATTTATCAACGGAGGCCAATTACTAAACTATCGATAGTCACACATACTATCGATCCATCGATTGTTTTCGTTTTTAGCATCGATTAATTGCTATCGGAGACTCAATGATTGCAATCCATCGATAGTTCAATGCGGTATATACCACTGGTTGTAATGTCGTTAGTGCTCTAAGTATTTCAGTTTCGTGTGAGGTTGGTGTGTGAGGGAATCACACAGGCCACAGACATTGGATTCGAACCCACAATCATAGGTTTCTAGCAGGTATGGGTTGGGTGAGTGAGTGAGTGAGTGGGTGGGTGGGTTGGGTGAGTCAGTGAGTGAGTGAGTGCGCGGGTGGGTGAGTTGGGTGATTGAGTGAGTGGTTGAGTGAGTGAGTGAGTGAGTGAGTGAGTGGGTGGATGAAAGAGGGAGTGAGCGGGTGGGTGGATGGGTGACTGTTTCGCCTTTGACACTCTGACCATCTGTGACCCCGATTGCAAGGTAAATATCATGTATCGTAATTACTAAAAGTATGAGTATGGCAGTATACGTTTCTCTTTAAGACTTTACCATGACATGCCGCCATAGCAAGCAGTGACCTGATGGTGTCCAGCTCTCGGAAGCTGACAGTTTTCACGTACTCCTCCGCTGGGGAGCTGGCCATTTCCTCCAGTTCATTGATGTCCACCCCGTATCCTATACCGACTGCGAAGATCTGAAGACCCGCTTTCTTCGCCTTTGATGATTCTGGAAAATGATAGGAATACACGGTATTACCGGTATACCGATATATCGCAATACCGGTATATTGGGTGATGAAGGTATTTGAAGTTTAGTGATTATCTCTATGGTTTTTGTGAAATTCTACACAGACTTTTATTCACACTGAAGTTTTCAAGTGAAATTAATTGACAAATCAACATACTTTGTAAGAAAACAAATTATACAAAAGAAAATACAATCTCTCAAAATCAAATCTAAATTCAATATTTCTGTTATCACAACCAGAACATTTATTATGTATGCAGAAAATAACATTTATTTAGTATGCAGAAAATAGACTCTGCACGTACAATCAATGTCACTCACTGTCAAACACTGAAACTTCCAATATATCGCAATACACATAAGAATGCGGGTACCAGAATCGCACTATATTGCAATACAAGTTATTTGCCAATACACAGCCCTAGAAAATAACCATTGAGCGCATATGATATATATTCAGTTATTGCTTAATGGTTCACGGGTTAACGTCATAAACAAGTGACGTCACGTCAAACCTTATTACGCCGTCCTGATTGTCGATACCAGGCAGTTGTCTTTAACAGTTTTATGCGATAGCTAAACGTTATGACGAGAAATTAAGTTATCCAAATATACCGTGATGAGTATTAGGTTGAAGTGAGTTGGCTTGGTTAAACGCATATTTCAGCGTTATTTCAGTTACATTACAATCGCGTACCTGTATATCATTCTGGTACAAACAGCACAGATTGCTGTTAATAAACGTAGAATCTGGAATTCGAACGTCGATCAGAGGTTGCTGGCACGCCTAAGGGAGGCAACTCTATGCAGTAACAGCTCAACCGTATGGTATGATTACGGATCAGGTACGTTCGAGCGTACGATTACCTTGTAAGGTTAGGGTCGTATTTGTTGACTTCCCATCTGTAATGACAATTGCAATATGCGGGACTCCGTCCCTGCCGCTGTCCGCCATCATTTGTTGCGCGATCTGCAGCCCGAGATACGTATCTGTGGCTCCACCCATTGTGAACTCTATATTAGCAATAGCCTATAAAACAGGTAAAAATGTACACATGACGTGGAAACATCTTTCAAAATAGATTCGATTTGCTCTTCCCTTACCACATGCAATGAAAAGCGGACAATCCAATCCGGTATGAGGGATGTTTGTTACTTATTATACTTCTGAAATATATCGAAGAAAAAATGGTAGGCATCACTGATCTTTTAGGAGGTGCTCAGTCTTTAATTTGCTTCGTGTTTAAACTAAATCTTCACGATCCGTAACTTTTTTTGTTAAGTATACATGCGCCTTGACAGCGTTACATAACCGTAACTACAATACTCCTTCATACTGACATTTAAACTTCATCCACATCCATGATATGGGTAATACTTTTGATGGATTTCCTATTAGCGTATATATCTGGGTTAACATATTGTTTGTTGCGTATCTTATTGTGAAGAGTATAGTTATCCTCGACTATTACGTTTCAGATTTTAGATTTTACTTACATTTGTCACTTCCTGTTTAGTTTCAAATTCGCCCAAACCAAACTCTGGTCTAGCTCCCTCGCTGAAAGACACTGCTCCAATTCTGGTTTTGTCGGGCTGGACCTGGAACATCTTAACAACATTCTGTACAAACTTTAGCTGCTGAATGAAGTAGGGTTGCCAGATACTTCGCGACGTGTCTATGATGAACACAATATCAGCAGGCTGCCCGCAACTGTCGCTTCCTACAAACACAAACATATGAGTGAGTGACTTGGTTAGTGAGTGAGTGACTGAGTGAGTGACTGACTGGGTATGGTTTTCCGCCGTTTTTAGCAATATTCCAGCAATAACACGGCGGGGAACACCAGAAAGGGGCTTCACAAATTGGGAAATCGAACCTGGGCCTTCGGCGTGACGAGCGAACGCTTTAACCACTAGGCTACCCGGGTTAGTGAGTGAGTGGATGGGTGAGTGAGTGAGTGAGTGAGTGAGTGTGTGAGTGGATTTGGATGAGTGTGTGGGTCGGTAGGTGAGTGAACTAGTGGGTGGTTGGTTGAATGGTTGAGTGGTTGAGTGAGTGAGTTTACACTATTCACATCACATCATCAGCTAATTGTGAGTTTAAAATACAGGTCTCTGACGTCCCGCTCTTTGGTGTAATCAGTCGGTATGGTGCGGACGAACCAAGAAACAAAACTGAAGCGAATCCATATTGGAACCGTACATCATGTTTTCCCAGTGGTCAAGGAACGGCTCAAGCGATCGGGTCTCGTGTGCCTCTTATTGCTAATTATATCTACAGATGTTTTGTACTAAATGTTATTTCATGTTGAATATTGGTTTGCGTGATCCTTGTAAATATCACGTAAACATCTGCTGGTCCTGTGTTCGAATCCAAGTGGTGCTCAATTGAAATCAGTGGTGTCAGCGCCATACCCCTTTCGCCAAGGTAGCTCACCTCTACGACCGATGTCCCCCTGACATGTTCGAATCCTTATTGTGGAATATTCGTACACCATGAAAGCGTATATATCAGCTACGGATATTCGTAGCAATTCCCCATTTTGACCATACATTCGCGATTTTGTTTACGTGAACAGCTGACAAGCCTTTGCATATGTGCATATATGCCACCTGTGGCAGCTTAGGCTCACCTTTTGCGAACACCTGTCATTGTATCGCGTGTTGTCAATAACTGGTTTGTCTGGTCCTGGGCCTAGATTTTCGAAGCTCTCTTAGCGCTAAGATAGTCGTAAGTGCCATACATTAACATTAACTTACGACTATGTTAGCGCTAAGAGAGCTTCGAAAACCTAGGCCCAGACTGCTGAATGCGGCGGCAAACATATACTCATGCTATAGTCAGATTTGTATAATCGACTCTGCTTGCAGTAAAAAATTCTTTCGGCTGTGGAAAGGGTTTTGCCGTTTGTATTTAAAAATGTGGCACTAATTATAATAATTGTAATAATAATATGCTTCTAAAGCATTCTGTTCCAAGTGGAAAGCAGGTTACGCGTGTTCTTACGATGGCGATGTCGTATTTGGCCCTAGTTCGGTGTGATCAGTCATGAGTCAGTAAACGACTTATTAATTGTATATTGCGTGAGTTGGGTTGAATTTTAACAGTATTCCAGTAACAGCTCGGCTTGTCCACTTAATACGGGAGGGAGCTCGTGTCAAACTGTGCAGCCATATTAGCGTGCAGGGACGACGTCAGGCTAACGCTCAGTTTCTGAATATATATAATTTTGATTGTATCAAAAAAACCCATTGAAATTGAAAAGGAGCCTCAGGGAGACCAGAGATCCTGAACTTGGGGAAATCTAGACTTGGTTCAATTAGGGCTTTAGCATTGCAGGGAGGGCTAGGTTGTGGGAAAATAATGTGGTTCAGGGACTGTGAGACAGACTAGGACGACCTTGGACGTTAGACGTTAGACGTTGGAGACATACCATGGAGACTGACAAATCTAACACGGACCCCCACTCTAAAGGTAAAGAGCAGGCATATACAGCTTGGAGTACGGACTTTCATATAGACGCGGTGATAAGCTCTTCCTTTCTCTTCTCTAAATTTGAAAAGGTCATAGATAAGTTGAATGCCGGGTTGTCACATGTCAGAGATAATTGCAAATCTCAACATCTGTGGTGGAAATGCGAGTTTCTCCCATAAGCGTTGTATTATCAAATTGTTTGAAGGTCATGACTGGAATTTAAGTTGAATTTTCACAGAACGAAACATGTTCACAACTTACTTAGCCCTTAATACGATAATTTCAAATAATATCATAATAAACATAGATACTATAGAGCAAAGACAAAAGGAAGCAGATAGAGAGTTTCAGCCACTTTTTTACAACACGATGGAAACAGTCCCTTCCCCACCCCTACAGATATACGATGAAAACAGCCCTTCCCCACCCTACAGATTTACGATGAAAGCATCCCCTTAGCCACCCCATCAAATATGCGATGAAAGCATCCCCTTCCCCACCCCAACAGATATACGATGAAAGCATCCCCTTCCCTGCCCCTACAGATATACGATGAAAGCATCCCCTTCCCTGCCCCTACAGATGTACGATGAAAGCATCCCCTTCCCCGCCCCTACATATATACGATGAAAGCATCCTCTTAGCCACCCCTAAAGATATACGATGAGAGCATCCCCTTACCTACCCTACATGAAAACAGTCCCTTCCCCTCTCTGAACAGTCCCTTCCCCTCTCTACAGACACACGATGAAAGCATCTCCTTCCCCACCCTACAGATATACGATGAAAGAGACCCTTACTACTGAGCCTGTCATTTCGCACGTCCACATTAGAAATATTAATAATGTAGTCGTGCTGCCGTACATTGAAGCGGTGCAGAATGACTCTCACTAACAATTATGGGAAATATTTTTGAACAGGGCAATTTAGTTGTATTATAGTTGAACCGCAAAGCGACATAACAAATTGCTTTGTTAAGTTTCATTACACAAGATTATTTTTGTTTTCTGTAAAGCTGTACGGGTTGTCCACAAATATATTTCCCTTTAAGTAGAAACATTATTTGCAAAAACGTGTGGGAAAGCAATAGACAAGGAATGCACTCCCCGTTTTCACGTTCAGCATAATATGTTACTGTTATTTCGTGTCTATTTGACAACATCATATTGTACCCACATTTGGCGTCTTATTGATTTCTGCCTCTTGCACTGGATGTATTTTGCCAAGGAGGTGAGCATGCCTTTAATATATTGGATGGAAAATGTATTCTGCCAAGGAGGTGAGCATAACTTCAATATATAGGATATGAAATGTATTTTGCCAAGGAAGTGAGCATAACTTCAATATATAGGATATGAAATGTATTTTGCCAAGGAGGTGAGCATAACTTCAATATATAGGATATGAAATGTATTCTGCCAAGGAGGTGAGCATAACTTCAATATATAGGATATGAAATGTATTCTGCCAAGGAGGTGAGCATAACTTCAATATATAGGATATGAAATGTATTCTGCCAAGGAGGTGAGCATAACTTCAATATATAGGATATGAAATGTATTCTGCCAAGGAGGTGAGCATAACTTCAATATATAGGATATGAAATATTCTGCCAAATGTATTTTGCCAAGGAGGTGAGCATAACTTCAATATATAGGATATGAAATGTATTTTGCCAAGGAGGTGAGCATAACTTCAATATATAGGATATGAATGATGTATTTTGCCAAGGAGGTGAGCATAACTTCAATATATAGGATATGAAATGTATTTTGCCAAGGAGGTGAGCATAACTTCAATATATAGGATATGAAATGTATTTTGCCAAGGAGGTGAGCATAACTGAGCATAATGTATTCAATATATAGGATATGAAATGTATTTTGCCAAGGAGGTGAGCATAACTTCTTCAATATATAGGATATGAAATGTATATTTGCCAAGGAGGTGAGCATAACTTCAATATATAGGATATGAAATGTATTCTGCCAAGGAGGTGAGCATAACTTCAATATATAGGATATGAAATGTATTCTGCCAAGGAGGTGAGCATAACTTCAATATATAGGATATGAAATGTATTCTGCCAAGGAGGTGAGCATAACTTCAATATATAGGATATGAAATGTATTCTGCCAAGGAGTTGAGCATGCCTTCAATATATAGGAAATGAAATGTATTCTGCCAATGAGGTGAGCATAACTTCAATATATAGTAAGAGAACCTATGTTGCTCTGCACAGTGTCAGAAATCTAATTTCACGTGGACAAAAAGTGGTAGATAGCACGAGCATCAAATTCAGCCAGGAGACAGACTGTGACGACAAGATCCTCATATCCTGGGATACTAGAGTTTCAATAAGGTGACATGAACATGTGAGTTTAAACTTTTGTAATATTTTTTTAACAACGTACTGTCTCGAGACATTACGACTGAGGATATTTGGAACAATCTTTAACCTGAATGTAATTAGCCTAATGTATTTATAATTAATTTGAGAAAAAAACTAAATGTAAACAAATATCAGAGAACAAAATTTACATATAGAGAAAAGTTATATACCCTACATTTCCTCGGAAAATGGTCCTTGTATTTATTGGTTGGAATGATATGTAATGTCATTTAACAACGTATTGTTTCGATACATTACGACTGCGGATGTTTGAAACAATCATTTACTAGAAGGGAAGGATTTACTGTGAAAAGCAAATAGATTATGTATTTATAATTCATTTGAGAAATGAAAAATAAATGTGATTTAATATCAGGAGAACAAAATTTACGTATAGAGTAAAGTTATCTACAATATACTTCATTGGGAAATAGTCCTTGTATTTATCAGTTTGACTGATATGAAAAAAATATATGTTTCTGTTTATATAGTTGCCTACTGATATACAGACCAAAATCGATTATCTAATGGCATGAAGTCATCTTTTGTCATAATAGAATTAATAGTCTGTGCACTTGAACAAACACGCCAGCAATTAAATATAATATCTTTGACCTTAATATCCCTTAAAGTATTCGTTTCAGTATAATATGGTAATGTTGCACTGATTGGCTCTAATGACTGACAGTTGAACCTGCAAAGGTTTTGGTCTAATCTTGGAGCCAATCGGACACAATTATATATTAATTGTTCTGATCTGTCGTGTGAAAACTATCAATGACTATGGTATGTGGCAGTTATTTGTTTCCATCAAACAGCTTTATACGTCAGCGCGAATGTCTCGTTATATACCAATACTTTACCAATTTCTGTAACAATGTTGATGTTGTATTGCATGTAAGAAAAATACTTTCAAACACGTTAAAAAACCCCACACATCCTCGTTTCGATGCTATACTCGTTATGTACATACAAATACCAAACAGTATTCTGATTAAGTCAGTAAGAAGTGTGGACCATACATATTCTCCATAGTTTCTAACGTTTAGGGGAACAGTGGGGTGGCCCAGTGGTTAAAGCGTTCGCTCGTCACGCCGGTCCCGGGTTCGATTCCACACATAGGCACAATGTGTGAAGCCCTTATCTGGTGTCGACCGCCGTGATATTGCTGGGATATTTCTAAAAGCAGCGTAAAACTTAACTCACTCACTCACTCACTTTAGTGTGGACTTTTGCGATTATACTTGGAAGGAGACAATCTCTTAATACGAAAAACGGCTAAAACAGCCAGCCCCATAAATATGAAAAATATATTTTGAATTGGTAATTGTTTCATTTAACTGTTAATCGTACCATTTGGATAGAAGGTGTTTTTCTAGATATATGAATACCTTTTTCGATCACAAACCATAATTAAGGACGGGTCTTCACGAACACAAGATGTTTGAATATTGATAAATGTACTTACCCTCCACAAAGTGAACCTGCAAAGAAAAGTGAAGTATTTATATGGTATGTGTATTTTATAACATGTAAGAAGTGAAAATATGACATAACTCAACACTGTGAAGAATTTACAATACGTGTATTTAATTTCGTATTAATGAGATTATTGACAGTCGTAAGCTGGTTGTATATAATTTGACATAAATTACCAAAAAAGCATGTTTCTTAACTTTATTCTAAATAAACCAAAGCTACATTATTCTGAATAAACTCAAGCTAAATATTATGGTAATTGTATGAATTTATCTATCGTCCAAATAACCAGGTACATGTTTGGGTTCAGTTGTTCAAGTCGATGATCAGAGATGCGTCCCCTGGACAATCGTCTGAGTGAGTGAGTATGGTTTTAGCAATATTCCAGCAACATCACGGCGGGGAACACCAGAAATGGGCTTCACATATTGTACCCATGTGGGAAATCGAACCTGGGCCTTCGGCGTGACGAGCGAACGCTTTAAGCACTAGGCTAGAGATGTACACATTAAGCTGACACGCCTTTATATAACTGGGATACAGTTAAAAACAGCGTTAAACCCAGCTTACTCACTTACTCATCGGTTAAATGTCTACATTAATTTATACAATTAACCCACATTTATCACCCTCTTTGTGTTGGTCGTCTTTGTCTCGCTGCAATACTCTGATATTAAATGTGTCCCCAGTCAGGTAACTTATACATGTAGGTGCATGTGTCAGCCCCTTACGCTAGAATGCAAGGTAACAGTATATCATGGCTATCATAATTTGACACATGACTCCGAACCGGGAAAGAGTTTCTTTGGTATTATCCTCAACAAACTGAGAAACTAAAGCACAAAACAATACTTTGAAACAGAAATAAATAAACAGTATGAAGCGAGTCCTTACCATACAACACAGCGATAACGCTGCAAGGAGTTTCAGCATCGTCCTCATCCTTCTCTTCACGTCAGCGTCCGTGGAATGTAACAACGCGATGTGTTCAGTATCAACGCAGTTCCCGTGGCTAGTACCGCGATCTGTTATAACGTCCCTGTCACAACCCACCTTATATCAACGCGGAGTAGAAAAATACTGCATGATTCACCATTTAATTACCCCACGGCATGTCAAGAGATCGTTGTTTAATTGGTTGGTTATAAATGATCTTTTATGCAAATGTAAAGTCGCTATTATTATTATGGCGTTTCATGTCTGCTTATTTCAAAACGTTTAAGGAATGTAGTTAAGTAGATAATCGGATATAATACACATAGACAATGGATATGCCTTCTGTTTTGAATGGAAAATATAATTTTGAAAGGGAAATAGACTAGTTTAATTTAGTTTATCTTCCTATATTTCTGCTAGGGACTTGCCAGATGTGAAGATTTATCAGGTTGCAAAGTACAATCAACAAATTACTTGTCCTTTTCATCCGGTATCAGTTTTGATAAGACTATATATCGTGATAGCATATGCTATGAAATGGTTAACTGTCAGTCCAAGCAAAAATCCTAAAAGATTTTTCTTTGTGCGGGTATTATCCAGTTAATAGCTTGGCTTTACGGTTCTCCGTGCAGGCATCGAAACCCCGTATGGAGAACTACATACGGCCTCTTTGATGTGTATTGTCATGCTTCCCACTGATGCTGTCGTATATAATAATAAATATAATTTCACAATAAATGAAGAGGTGAGGTGAGGTGAGGTGAGGTGAAATTGAGTTTAAAGGAGAATCCGAACGAAAACAAAACTTTTGATAAATTGTAAAGGAATTTCTAAAAGTCACCTTCCGTGATTTAAAGTGAACAAAAAGTTTGCAAAATATCATTAAAAACACAAAAAAACGCACTCGTATTTCCGCCGTTTACGGAAACACCCGACAGTTAATGAGCAGAGGGGTATCACGTGACATGACGTCATGTGTGCCTGTTGCTGATGGCTGCCTCTTTGATATTACCTCACAACTTAACAGTGTCCATGGATTCTGAAGCAGTAAAAGCTGTTCCTAATGTCATTTCTGAAATGGATGTTAGACCGTATCAATACGATCCGATTTTACATCTTGCAAGACAATCTTCCAGTGAAGATGAAGAAGAAGAATCAAGCAAACGGAGCCACAGCTTGAGTTCAAAATAAATTTTAAAACATACCATATCATTTAACAAGAATACTATTTGACAGCAAAATGTGATACAGTTCCAACCAGCAAACCCACCCCTATAAGTATATGACCAGTTTCTAAGAATTATATTTTTTGCAATGTGATTGCAGTTCCTTTTGTGTCAAATGGGTGACTGTAGGGTGTCTGGGACTTAAAAACACAATAATTATGCTTCAGACGGGGGAAAATAGAAATTATCTGCTAGAAACACTTCTGCATCATTTAGGGCTCAAAACCGAAAAGAACGTCATAGCGAAAAATTTTCAAGCTCATGTGAAATCTCTTACTGATTTTGATGATATATATCTCATGGGTACCAGTGGAACTGCCCCAGCTACAAAATGCCCCAGCACATTTGGTCATTCATTCTAATTTGGTCAAATTTAGTTAAAATGATTTAATACATGCCGTAAATGCATAGTTTTTGTCAACTTTGATATTATGTTCCTCATATAAAAGTTATTAAGAAGTAATATTTCTGATAAATGTTCCATCAGTAAACTCATAACTATGTATATACTTTTATATGAAGAACATGATATCAAAGTTGACAAAACTATGCATTTATGGCCTATATTTAATCATTTTAAATAAATTGGGGCATTTCAAGTACCCCCTGGGGCAATCTGACCAAATTTGCTCGGCCAATTTGCAGCGGGGCAATTCGACTGGCAATCGCACTTGATGTAATTTATGTTAAAAATACCACTGACAGTAAGTCTAGCTTTGGGATTTGTATGCCCCATGTGTGCTTGTCTCTTTCATATGCGTCCGACTCGGAATGATCGGAGCATTTCTCCTGCCTAAGTCTTTCTCTTTACTTGGAAAACAGAAGAAATGGTGGCTTTCCATTGTTCGATGATTCCGTGCATCCCCAGGCAACAGAATACACCATCGTACCATTTACAAAAACGACAGAAACAACACGATTTGTACTACTGTGCTTGGTCTTTGGCAATATGGCGGACTCCAGGCACATTTGACGTTACGAGCGGAAAGGTCACGTGGGTTCCAGCGAAACATGCATAATGGCCGAAGCTGAGATTTACAGAAACTGTTTTCGCGATTAAAACATAATTATACATAATTTTAAAATTTGGGAATATGTTTCGGGTGACTTTATCTTTAACCCAGCAAATTATTGCAATTCACTCGTATTCTTCTTTAACGTCGTGCTTGAGAATATTTCGCTCCTATGACAACGTGCATCCGTGTGTATGTGTCGCTGCTTGTACTAGCCCAGACTAAAGCTGGTTTTATAGTGCTAGCACATTGAGATACCATTCCGCAGTGAAGCATGGATACCCCACTCAGACACATTACACTGACTCCGAGCCGACCAGTCCTTGTTGTACCCATTAATGCCGAGCACCAGGGACCAACAATACAATATTTTAACGTCTTTTGGTATGACGCGGTCGGGGATCGAACCCCGCGACCTTCCGCTCTCTGGGCGGACGCTCTAACCACTACACCACGGAGGCGGTCTCTTTAGATAAAGAGTGTAAATGACTCTGAGTAAAGTCGCGATATTCAGCTCGAAGTACAATTATATACATCGCACGTTCGTAAATCTAGTAATCAACCCGAAAAGTTAATGTGTACAGGCTTTCTGGTGAAGGTTGTGAATTGTGCTGAGAAAAAAATGAATGCAAATGCAATGACAGTACTATGTAATCAAAATATGAAATTACTTACAAAGATACATGGACCTTCTGGGATCGTTGTTTTAAGAAAGTGAGTCGAATTTCGCAAAAGTAAACACTTGAATCCTAATAGTGTTGCTTGTTTAATGTTTAATGACACACTCAGCGATATTCCAGCTATACGGCGGCGGTCTGTCTGAACCAGCCAATCCAGTGACTGACATCATGAGCATCGATCTACGCGTTTCTCCAATTCTAACCCGGATGTTCACGGTTCAAGCGTGGGTTGTTGGCTTGTTGTTTAACGCAACTTTTCGGCTATATTCTGTAAATGCCCGAGTCTGAACCAGACAATCCGATGACTGACATCATGAGCATCGATCGGGATACGATCAGTTGGGATACTATGACATTTGTCAACCAAGTCAGCGAGTCTGACCACCCGATCCCGTTAGCTGCCTCTTACGGCAAGCATGTGTTGCCGAAGACAAATTCCAACTCGGATCTTTAATTGTCCACCTCATCTTTACTACCAGAACGTACCCGTGAAGATCCGGGTTAGAAATGATCTTCAGTAACCGCAGCTTGTCGTAAAAGGCGACTAACGGGATCGGGTGGTTAGGCTCGTTGACTAGGTTGACGTATGTAATCGTTTCCCTAATGGGTAGATCGATGCTCATGATGTTGATCCCTGAATTGTCTGGTCCAGACTCGATTAATAATAGACCGCCGCCATACAGCTGGAATATTGCTGAGTGCGGCGTAAAACTAAAGTCACTCACTCACAGAACGTGTTATAACGGTCCTGGTGTGGATATTAACAATAGTTGTAATAATATAGTGACATAACATGCAGCTGCCCCTACAGATATACTAATGACAGACATGATTAATGGCCATGCCTGCAGCACTAGACGCCATCACCATTCACAGGAAGGACAACAATTAGCAAAGACAAATTACATCACGTGTTCACCCACCAGACTTCTCCCAAAAATAATTATATTTCGTATTAGGTTACGTTCATTATCACGGGGAGTGTCATAATTCATTATGGCATTATTCGCTTTGATGTTATCGGCTATGCGTTGGCAGAAGCACGGTGCCATACCTTCACATTAAGCTTGATAGGAATGGTTGACTCATTGCACTATCAACAGATCATCGTGGATAAAATCTCCATGGGAGACTGTATGAATGAGTGAGTGAGCTTGGTTTAGCGACGTGTTAAACCACTGGCAGTTGTTGCATATCGTGGTAAGGGTATCGTGCTAAAAAAAAAGCAAGAAGAATAATCAGGGCATTTCAGGAATTCGAATCCAAAATCCTGTAACGTATGAGGGAGAAAACTCCAGTTCTTCAATCAGTTCTATTTTGCTGCACTATTCTACATTACGCAATGATGCTATAACATAGGAGAGGGTTATATTAAAGTGAGTGGCTGGGTTTGATATAGAGAGATTATTAAACTCAAATTATGTATTTTACAAAATTTCACGCTCGTTTCGGATAGGTCGTATAGTGATATGTGCACACATGCACTTATGATATATATGACACTGGTTATGTTTCACCATATGTGTAAAATAATAATGGATACTAGGCGTACATGTGAAATATGTAAAACCTTTTTATCATACTTTTTATGCATTTAACAGTAAAGTACAGATTCTAGTACTTTAATACCGAATATGACGTATGTTACCTTTGACCACTTTTTACAAAGCAGAGTGTATTCACTATTCAAAGCTTCTGCCATGGGAGCTGTGCCTATTCACACTTGTCAGAGGCGTAAACAAACTATATAGACTACCAGCTGTCAGACTTCCAGGTTTATTTAAGCTACGGAGGCTGAGTGGGTTAGATCTGTTTGTACCTGGATATTAGGACTCAACCCCAAAAGTAATAGAATCTGTATTTTATTAAGAAAGTGTAATCCCAATATACCCGTGTTACGTACATGTATGTTACATTGAACAACTTGCTAAATGTTATTGTGCCTATGAAGAAACCTTGGAAAAAAAATAAAGGAACACTTGTCCTTTCATGTGATCCCTTATTTTTCCCCCTCAGTATATATAAGCCAAATTACACGGGTTATCGCCCAAGTGATGAATATACTGAATCCTGGACCATAGGGACTTTATAGGAAACTTATAACATATACTACTTGATCGTATAATTAAACCTAATGATGTTCCTTTGTCGTGTTGAGAGAGTGACTGTTTTAT